CCCCCCCCCCCCCCCCCCCCTCAAAAAGGGCTGTATATACACTGTACAATATTCCTTATATGAACATCCCCCCCACACCAGGAAAATTAAAATATTTAATAATATTAAAAATAATATTTTATCAATAGATAGGAGCAGAGGCTGTTTTTTATCTTAGTTTACATTATTTATGTAAGCATGTTTACAAGAGTCGCAATACATGCCAAATTTCTTACTTAAGAATTATCTCCAAAAGAAGCTTGCAAAATGATTATACGAACCTGAGGCCTCTCGGCCACTTCTTGGCGTTTTCGAAGTGCCTGTGAAGAGGACTGAGATAAAGTTTTGAACGACTAGTAGATTTATACCAAAACAATTACTAGATTATTCGCTCTCGATTTCTATGTGTGATAGTTGACGAGGGCGCATATCACGAGCTCATAATCTAATTGTTTAATAGACACGATGGTTTTAATGGGAAATAAACCACTTGTAAAAATCATACGAAACTACATCCGGGACTTAAGTGGTGTATTTTCCATGAGGATATTGATGACGTCATTTCCCGCTTTTCACGGCGGTTGTTTGAGCAAACAATAAAATAAAATAAAAAATTACAGGGTGAGAGTGTTCGAACAATATTTGCTTACCCTATTTTCTCTCAAACATGCACTGAAGTGGCCCAGATAAACTGTCTATTTTGTTATGAAGAGAAAATGAGTGAAAATAAACCATTGCGCAGTCAGCCTTCCTCAATTGGCTTTACACAGGGAAGAGAAAAAATCAGCGAGCCAAGTGCATTCCTTCCCGCGAGGTCTTCCTCTCGCAGAACTTTCCTTGACCAGTCCTATACCCACTAGGGGGCTGTTCAAAAATTCTGTAATTTCGCTCATTACATTGTTGTGTGTCTTCTTTCTTCGTGGTCTTCGTGCTAAAACGCTGTTTTTGGCTATCTGGGGCGGTCTGTAGGTTAATTTTAGGCTGCGCTATGACAAATATTTTTGGTACCCAAATCGACATTTTTATCAGTCCTAAAAGAAGACATTAAATTTCTCATATCACGAAAATTCCAGAAGACAATTTTAAGAGAATTGAAGGGGATTAAAGGCTTTCAAACGAGACAATTTAGCCAAAAGATACATTGGGTGCCGCTGAATAAAGTAAGAGTTTTTCCAAAATCAATAAAAAGAGGGATACTTCTGGTGGCGCAATTGCCGAAGATATTTTTCAGCAAGTTCCCTGTTCATTTGACTTCCAACCAAATTTCGGGATCTCTTGGCTTGATGCTGAGCACACCTTAGTCCCTAACCCGCTACAGAAACATGAGCAAAGAGTTAGTTTTTTTACTTCTTTTATGGAATCATTCAAGAAGATTTGCCCGTGTTTTCCAATCAAACTTGCACTTTGTCTTCACGTTTTTGAAAGAAACAAATGAATAAGTTCCAGAAATTCCTCCAACGCAAAAATAGGCTACACTTCCGGTAAGAGAAAGCACTGACTGGCTTACATGTGTTCAGAAAACTTTACGTAACGAGCTTACTTGAGACACTTAAGAAGATGATAAAAGAAAACAGGCATTATATCATTGCTGCCTCCCTGTATTGCAGGTAACCTTTAAAACAAGACATGAAAAATCTTCGCAGCCGCATGTGAACGCGCTCCCAAACGCATCCTATTGGATTGTATCAGCCTGTATAACGAAAATTAAAATCTGGACCTTTGTTCGAGCGGGTGTAAACAAGCGAATCACATCGCGTGATTTTCTTGTAGCAGTTAAGTCGGTCAAAATTGCATTTATTCAGTTATAATTTAACCGTTGAAAAAAACGACAAGAAAACAAATATATGAAAGCAAACGTATGTGTTTAATTCCCATTTCTGGGTATACGTACTAGCTTTTTTTAATACTAGTCTTGGGACTTGAATCATGCTAGCGTGAATTTCCGCTGAAATTCAAGTTGAAAAAGGAAACAAACGGTGTTATGTTTGAAACCTTTCTCAGCGATAGATTTTTAGCTTCCGAGTGAATTGAAGATTCGTCAAGCTTATATTTCATGAGCTCGGGTTCGCGTGGAGACAGGCTCGATTTCCCACCCTTTCAATTTGACATTTGCAGACTTTCGGATTTTCGTTTCTATATCTCATTCCCGCACTTTTGGATATGGCCGACCAAAATTCATACAAACTTGAGAGAAAGCGAGCTGTACAATTCAAGAAACCTGCAATCTCGGACAAAAATGTTGAAACGCCAAACAAGTTCTTCCCTTTCCCCGACCTACAATGTTGAAAATCCGTTATTTTTTCCCCTTTTTTGTTCAAAAAAAAGAGGCGACATTTTCCAACATTGATTAGGGGCCAGGGGATACGATCCAGGTCAAGTGTTCCAAATACGTTTGTCCGGTATTGTGGTTGAAACCCAGCAAGGAAAAAACACTAAAGAGGATTAAAGTGAAACTTGAGCGAAGCTTAATCTGGTGAGAGGTCAATTGCAATCTTCCGGTTTCATGTCCTGAAAATGGGAACGCCCCCTTAACGCCTCTGCACTCTTGCAAGCGCGCGCGGGATCTTTCTCAAGTGAACACCATCAAAAATTATGGCTTGTAGACTTCTTTTTCACGCATTTCTCAGCGTGTTACTCTGTTGCTTTGCCGATAACACCAGGTGAGCTATAACTGACAACCAGACATCTTTGAATCACTTTTTAAAATCGTCTTCGCGACAGACAGAAAGATCGAGTAAGATGATTATCTACGTTCACATTTTGCCTTAAGGCGTGAAACTGTATCTTCATGTAATATTTAAGCTTTGTGACCTCAAGTAAACTTACTAAAAATCGTTACTATTAGCTACTATTATCTCAGTACCACCTAACCTGTTAAGAACAGTTCACATTCGTAGTACACTTGATCTTCACGGATGTATGTTTCACCCCACTGGACGCGCGCAAACACAAATTTATAATAATCATATGGATGATTTGCACTTTCTCAAGAGGCTAGTACAAAAGCTATCCAACAACAACTTCATGATTCGACTTTAATTGTTCAAATTGTTTATGAATTTCTCATTTTTTTTGTGTGTGTATTTCCGTATTGGTCAGGTCGAAAGAAGCGAAAATCGAATTATTTATGGCCTGCGGTATTTGCAAGGCCAAGGGTCAACCAGAGTCAACACGCTTGCACCAAATAAATTTAAGTTTTTGGTCAAAACATATTTTAGTCGCCGAAATTATGGTTTTCTTGGGGAGGAAAATATATTTCAACCGTAGAATGAGAACAGCGCCAGCAGGAAATTATTTTGTGACGACAACCCTTTTGGTGAGAGCTTCCTCCCCTTATTTCTCCAAAAGGGAGCGTCTACTCCCTCCAGGCCCCCCTGTACAGGGTCCAGCTATATATCCAGGTTTTTACAGATAATTTTAATATTGATGACTAAACTAAATTCTATTATTTGCATGACAGTGGCGGATCCAGACCTTGAGCTAAGGGGGTGCGGGGAGCAGTTTTGTTTTGCTTCCCCTGTCGGCTTTTCTGGCTCCTGTGATTTTTTTTGTTTTTACCCAAAATAAAGGGTCCAGTGTCAGTGTCAGCTACATAATTTTTATATTTTGAAAACTATCGCAAGTTAGGGTTGCCCTCAGGGACCAGAAGTTTGTTTTAAGGATTTTTATTTAAAATATACCCAATAAATATCAAAACAGAGTTGGGCCCTAATCATTTTAATTAGGCTCAATACTTTTTGGTGTGCTTGTTGCATATTCAACATGTTATTTCCTAGGGGAAAAAGATAGAAATATGAAAGATGTGCATTGTAATAATGGAACAAAAAAATTCAACCCTCTGAGGTAGTAAACTTCAGCTTCCAGTGTAACGCAAGGATTTATTGCTTTTGATAATTTAAAAAGTTAATCAAACAGAACTATGTCTTTACAATGCAAAACTTTAGGACATGTTACAAAATTTAGTAAACATTTAATCACCATTTTAATAGGAATCCTCCAAAAATAGTTACCAAAGAGGGAAACCTGGTCTTAAAGGCTGGTGAAGATGGTGACATTGTTTTTGAACCTGATCAGGGAAAACAAGTGTTTATTGGAGGAAATGTCTTGGTGAGAATTAGACCTATTGTGTAGTTCCAGAAAATATCCATTCTTCCTTCACAGGAGAAATTCGGAATCTCTGAATCTGGAAATTCCAATTAAACTTCATACATTTCTTTAACTTTTTTGCTCTTCCCCCCCCCCCCCCCACCCCCCTGGAAATTTCAATCATTCTGTGGGGGGAGTATGGATATTTTCTGGAACTGCACATTACAAACAATCGCACAATTGAAAATATATTGAGAAAAAACCCATCTGGTTTTCTGTGTGCATAAATATCTGAAAAATAATATATTGAACTGTGACTCAGACCAATTTTTTGTTTTATTGTATTTTGTAGAACGTCTCTGCTAGCGCAAAGGGAGAGGTATTAATTTTCAGTTTATGGTTTTCATTTGTAAATGAAAGTTATAATTCTTGATTATTACAGTAATCAGATTATATCTAATGTTCTGTATTTTTTGTATTTTAAGAAAGGGGACCAAGGAATTCAAGGAGCAGTAAGTAAAACAAACCTTTGAAAAGAAATTCTGGCATTACGTTACGTTATTAAGTTATTTTGATACCAATAATTTATTAATATGAATTTTTGACTGAGCTCCCAAAGGTAGTCAGTCAGGATCAGTGAGTCAATTAGTCTGAGATGTGAGACCTTTTCTTCCCCCTAATCCCCATAAAGGCATGGACAGAAGGAAGAAGGGAGTGCTTCTCTGGCCATGCCTCTGGGAGATTAGGGTGATTAAACTATGGGTCAATAGTCGATTGGCAGTGCCGCCTCTGCAGGTGTCTGTCTGTCTTTGTCTGAGTGTCTATCAGTATTTCTGTCTGTCTATCATACAAATAAATACTGCAAGGTTCAACTTATAAAATATTCATTAAATGTGTTTTTTTTTTTCTTTCATCTGCTCAAGATTGGAAGCAAAGGAGAAAAGGGAGAAATTGGCCCACCAGGACAGGCGGTATCTATGGTAAATATACTACAGCTTATTTTCACATTTAAATGTTTTGCTGCAAGCCGGCTTCAGTCTTTGAATTAAAGGCAAACAACAACTTTATAGTCTTCTTCGCAGCTGCCCAGACTGAACTCACATAAAGCTCCCACAAACACACACTCACTCACACCTGTGCACATGTGTGGCTGCTTCACACTGAGATATGTAAATTCCTTTCCCATTATGTTTGCCATTATTTTTTACTTGGATCAATCAGCCCCTAGTTGTTGTATACACAGCTCCTGTGTAGCTAATGCTGTCGAGACGTTTTCTCCCCCAGAAAAACCCTGACCATCCATTGGTTGGTAGACATTTTGGATGTGAATCTCCTCAGTGAGATGGCAATGCCTCGACTGATTGGTTTATTTCAAGAAAGGAATGTATGTCATCAGTTTGAAGCAGTCAGGTGGGGATCAGGGAAGCTTTGGGTGACTTTGACTCAAGTGGCTGCAAAGGAAACTTAACTGCAACTTGGAGTTGGCCAAAATTGTTTTACAATATGTTTTCTTGCCTTTACGCAGAATGGCACAGTCAATGTTACTGGAACTCCTGGGCAGAAAGGAGAAAAAGGGATCCAAGGACTAAATGGAACAAAAGGAGGGGTGAATTGCTTTAGATCTCCATGTTGTTTTCTATGTGTACTGCAACAATGTAGCTGTTTCAGTTTTTCTAAAACCACACTTATTTTGGCCACGTTCTTGCATTTTGGGGAGAAAATGTTAGTCAAGAATATTTGACACATTTTTGTGTTTGATGGTGGACCTCTGTACATTTATCAACTTTTTTAGGGTCAAGAAAGTGAAAGTGGTTATAATCTATTAATGTGTAGTTCCAGAATATTTCCATACCTCCCCCACGGAAGGGATTTTTTTCTAGGGCCCCCCCCCCC